AATATGTCATTGGTATTTTAATAGGAATTGCTTTGGATCTATAGATTTCTTTGGATAGTATGGACATTTTAATGATGTTAATTCTTCCAATCCATGAACATGGCATGTGCTTCTACTTTTTTATATCTTCCTCTATATCTTTCAATATCCTGTAGTTTTCTGAGAACAGGTCTTTTACCTCCTTGATTGAGTTTTTTCCTAGGTATTTTAATTTTTTTGTTGCAATGGTGAATGGGATTTTTTTTTTTCTCTTTCTGTGTATTCATTATTGATGTATACAAATGCCAATGATCTGTGGATGTTTGTTTTGTATCCTTCTACTTTGCCAAATTCACTTGCTAAATCTAGCAGGTTCTGATGGAGTCTTTAGGGTTTTCTATGTATAATATCATGTCATCTGCGAATAATGACAGTTTTACTTCCTCCTTTCCAATTTGGATGCTTTTTATTTTTCCTTCTTGTCTGATAGCTGTGTTTAAGACTTCCAGTACTGTGTTGAATAAGGATGGCAAAAGCAGACATCCTGTCTTTTTCCTGTTCTTAAGGTAAATGCCTTTAGTTTTTTCCCATTGAGTATGATGTTAGCTGTAGGTCACATATGACCTTTATTATGTTGAGGTATGATCCTTCTATTCCTACTTTGCTGAAAGTTTTTATCAAAAATAGGTGCTGAATTTTGTCATATGCTTTTTCTGCATTTATTGATGTGATCATATGATTTTTATGTTTCATTTTGTTTATGTGGTGTATCACATTTATTGATTTGCAAATAGTGTACCAGCCTCTCAATATTATCCCTGGGATAAATCCCACTTGGTCATGGTGTATAATTTTTTTAATGTATTGCTAGATTCAATTTACTAATATTTTATCGAGGAGTTTGGGATCTATATCCTTCAGGGATATTGGCCTGTAATTTTCTTTCTTTGTAGTGTCTTAATCTGGTTTTGTGATTGGGATAATGCAGGCTCATAAAAAGAGTTTAGGATTCTTCCTTCCTCTTGAATATTTTGGAATAATTTGAGGACAATAGGTGTTAGTTCTTCTTTGAATATTTAGTAAAACTTCCCTGTGAAGCTTCCCAGACCAGGGCTTTTGTTTGCTGAGAGTTTTGATTACTGCTTCTATTTCCTTCATTGATATTGGTCTGTTCAGTTTTTCTGACTCTTCCAGGTTGAGTTTTGGGAAACTATAACTTTAGGAATTTGTGCATTTTACCTAGGTTGAACTTGTTGGCATATAATTGTTCATAGTATTTTCTTACAATCCACTGAACTTCTGTGCTGTCAGTTGTTACTTATCTCTTTCATTTCTAATTTTATTAATTTGGGTCCTCTGTCTTTGTTTGTTGGTGAATCTGGCTAAAAGCTAATCAATCTTGTTTCTTTTCAAAGAACCAGCTCTTGGTTTCATTGATCTTTTGTACTGTTTTTTTAGTCTCTATGTCATTTATTTCTGCTCTGACCTTTATTATTTCCTTCCTTCTACTAACTCTGTGTTCTTCTTTTTGATCTCTTTCTAAATCTTTAGGTTGTAGGATTAGATAGTTTATTAGCAATTTTCCCTGTTTCTTGAGGTATTGCTATTAACTTCCCTCTCAGGACTGCTTTCACTGCATTCCATAGATTTTGGATTGTTGTGTGTTTATTTTTATTAGTTTCGAGGAATTTTTTATTTCTTTTATGATCTCATTTCTATTCATTGTTTAATAACATGTTATTTAGCCACCATGTGTTTTAATGTTTTTGAGTGTTTTTATTAAAATTGATTTCTAGTTTCATGATATTGTGATCCAAGAAGATGCTTGATATGATTTCAGTCTTCTTGAACTTGTGGAGGCTTAGTTTGTGTCTTAACCTGTGGTCCGTCTTTGAATATGTCCCATGTGCATTTGAGAAGAATGTATATTCTGAAGTTTGGGAGTAAAATGTTCTGCAAATATCAATTAGATCCAGCTGATCTAGTGCATCACTAGGGTCTCTGTTTCCTTGTTATTTTTTTGTCTAGAGGATCTATCCAGTACTGTCAGTGGGGTGTTCAAGTCCCCTACTATGACTGTATTGCTATCTATATCTCCTTTGAAGTCCTCTAGAAGTTTTTTTAATATATTTTGTTGCTCTCATATTCAGTGCACATATGTTTACTAGGGTTATATCCTCTTGTTGGATCAATCATCTTAATATTATATAGTGATCATCTTTGTCTCTTCTTATAGCCTTCATTTTGAAGTCTATCTTATCAGATATGAGTATCGCTACCTCAGCTTTTTTTTTTTATTTGCATGAAAAAAATTTTTTTATCCCTTCACTTTCTTTCTGTGTGAGTCTTTTGTTGTTAGATGGGTCTCTTGTAGACAGCATATATACGAGTCATGTTTTCTTATCCATTTAGCTACCCTATATCTTTTGATTGGAGCATTTAAGCCATTGACATTTAAAGTTATTATCGATAGGTACTTTTTTGTTGCCATTTTTATTCTTTATGCCTGTGTTCCTCTGTCTCTATTCTTCTTCTTACAACAATCCCTTTAGCATTTCTTGCAGTGCTGGTTTGGTGGTAGTAAATTCCTTTAGCCTTTTGTGTCTGCAGAGCTCTTTATTTCATCTTCAATTTTGAATGAGAGCCTTGCTGAACAGAGTTGTCTTGAATTCAGACCCTTGCTTTTTATTACTTTGCATACTTGCACCACTCTCTTCTGGCCTGCAGTTTCTACTGAGAAATCAGCTGAAAGTCTAATGGGAGTTTCCTTGTAGGCAACTTTCTGACTCTCTATTGCTGCCTTTAAGATTCTTTTTTTTTTTTTTTTGTCTTTTTGGGTTCATCTTGATTTGGACTCTCTGTGTTTCCTGGATTTGTGTGACTCTTTCATTCACCAGGTTAGGGAAGTTTTCTGTAATTATTTCTTCAAACAGGTTCTCCATTCCTTTCTCAGATTCTTTTCCTTCTGGTGTTCCTATGATGCAAATGTTGTTATGTTTCATGTTGTCCCAAAGCTCTCTTAAACTCTCCTGCTTTTTATTGTTTTTTCCGCTTGCTGCTCTAATTATTTTTTTTCCTCTGCCTTGTCTTCAAACTCACTGATTCAGTCTTCAACTTCTTCTAATCTACTAGTGAATCCTTCTAGGTTAAATTTTATATCAGCTATGTCATTCTTCATATTCACTTGATTTTATATTTATTTATTCATTCTTATTTCATTCTTATTTATTCCTCTTTTTTATTGCTGGTGTAGTTCTCGTTAAGCTCTTTGTAATTCTCACTAAGTTGTTTGAGCACCCTTAACACCACTGCTTTGAATTCTTTATCAGACAAACTTTATATAGTTTCTATTCTGATGATTCCTCCTTTTTTGTCATTTGGGGGTTGTTTCTTTGTATCACCATTTTAGCAGGCTGATAGTTCAGGGCCAGGTGAGGCATGTTGGGACATGTAGGCAGGTTGTGTGTATCAGATAAGAATGCTATGCCTCCCAGTCTTGGTGTGGTGCCTTCTTGTTGGACCCAGTGAAGTAGTCTTCTTGATCTTCTGAGCTGGGTGCTCCAGGAATGGCCGTGGTGTGACTTATGTGGGCTTTCCTGTTGAATTTTGTTTTGATTGCTGTTGTCCATTTATGGCTGGGCTCAGTTCTCCACGCTGTTAGCTATGAGTCTCAACCCTGACCCTGTTGACCCTGTCATGCCAGCTGTTATATATTTCTTGACAGAACAAAACAAAGTAAAGCCAGACCAAACCAAAAAGAGTCCACTCAAAAATATCAGCATCCACAATAATAAAAGCAACTGCCTCAACAAAAAGATTAGGAGACACACAAACAAACAAAACCACACTCACACCAAACACACAAGGAATGCTAGGAGGTGTGAGACAAAAAGAACTAGACAGGTGAGGGAAAAAATATAAAATTAAAGAAGGCAAGGCAAAACCTTTTCTGTTACCATTTTATGGATCTGAGGCACATAGAGTTTCAGTGACTTAACCAAGGTCACATAGCTACTAGGTGGCAAAGTAGGATTTTGAACCTAGCCTGTCTCTCTCTAGAATCTGTCCACTTAACTCTGAATTATTCTTCCTCGTTAGAAAAGGGGAGAAATAAGTTAAGACATGCTTATTGATGATATGAATGAAATAGATAAACCTCTGGACAGGTCTCCCCTGGTCTCTCCAGCTAAAGTAGCCCTTCACTCCCATCCACTAGTCACTCTGCCCTCTTTTTTTTTTTTTTTATCCTCACCCGAGGACATTTTTCCATTTTTTGTACAGATAGAGTGGGAGGGAGAGAGAGGAAGAGACAGAGAGAGAGAAACATTGACGTGAAGGGACACATCGAGTGGCTGCCACCGCACAACCAACCAGGGCCGGGGACAAACTGCAACCGAAGTACATGCCCTTTGCGGGAACCAAACCCGGGTCTCTCCGGACCACAGGCCGATGCTCTAATCGCTGAGCCAAACCGGCCAGGGCTGCCCTCTTTTATTTTCTTCGGAGCATTTATTACTATCAGAAATTTCTTATTTCATCTTTGTCTATGTATGGATTTATCCATTCATCCACCTATCCATCCATCCATCCATGTCCAGGTCTCCCCCAACTGAAATACATTTCACAAACATAGTCCTGATGCCTAGAGCAGCTCTTGGAATGTATTAGGCATTCAGTAATAAGTATGCAATGATAAATGAATAATGTGTATATATTTACATACATTATATATAGATATATAGATATAGATATATGCATACACATACACATACATATATATTTACCTGTACAGGAAAACATCTAAAAGTATTTAACCACTAAACAGTTTACAGCAGCTGTCTCTGGGAGGTGGTATTATAAGTAGTAAGGCATATATATATATATATATATTATATATATATATAATATATATATAATATATATATCTTGTATCAGAAGATCAGATTGTGGGTGAACAATGCTGTGCCTTTGGAAATCACAAAATGAAAAGTCCAAATGTGGTGGGCTGTCTTTACTTTCAGGTGCTCAGAATTTGAGTCGAAACTTGAGGGCTATAGCAAGGAACTGGAAGCTTTTAGAAAACGTGAAGTGATGACTACAGAAGAAATTAAGAACAACGTTGAAAAGCTGAACGAACTTTCCAAGAACTTAGAGCAAGCACTGGTGGAATTTGAGGTTTGAGGTCTTGGGATGGGGACTTATGACTGTACTATGCTGATGGTTCCGGTCTTGGGTTTTGTATTTTCCTAACATCACCTGTCAGCTGATAGTGTTGATTGATTGACCAGTTCTTTCATTGCTACCTTTTTCTACACTTCTACACTGTACTAGTGTTTTTGTTAGTCATTGAGCACACAGAGGAGAAACTGTAATAGAATAATTGTTCACGTGTATTGAGCATTCGTCATGTGCAAAACAGTGTACAAAGGGCTTCATGTGTACTCTATCACTTAATGCCCATAACAAACCTCTGGGGTAGGTAGTCTTCTTATTTCCATTTATCCCTACTTAAAGTGAGAGAACTGAGACTTGGAGAAGCTAAATAACTTGCCCTGAAGGTCAACTGGTAAGTTCTTTAATTATTAAAGTTCTTACTTTTGAGGCAAGTCAACACAAGAAGGCAACAACATCATGTAAACAGCAAATGTACACATGAAAATTGTGGAAATGGGGCTATGAATATGTTACAGTGGGAACAAAGCTGATGGAATAAGTAGCAAAGTATCTGGTTTCACCCAACTAGATCTTGGCTGTCATTGCCTTTAGAGGTACAGAGGGACCTTTTTTTTTGTTTGTTTGTTTTGTTAATCCTAACCAGAGGATATTTTTCCATTAATTTTTAATTAGAGTGCAAGGAAAGGAGGGGGAGAGAGTGCGAAGCATAGATGTGAGAGAGAGACATCGATTGGTTGCCTTCTGCAAGACCCCAACCAGGGCTGGGGACTGACCCTGCAACCCAGGTATATGCCCTTGACCAGGAATCAAACCTGCGACCCTTTTGTCCATGGGCTGACACTCTAACTGCTGAGCCAAACCAGCCAGGGCCAGAGGGACCTTCTTGATTGAGTCCACACCTTATTTTCTTCTCTTTCTAACAAGCATCTTCCTCAATTTGGTTTTCAAAACATTGAGGAGTTAGCCATGGTGGCTTCTAGAGATGAGGAGAACCACCCACGTAATAATAGAAAGCATCCCTTTTTGCCTGCAGTTGCTCAATAAGGAGGAGGAGCTGTTGCAAAAGGAGAAGAGTACCTTCCCTCTTCTGCAAACCCTGCTGACCAACAAAGTGCCTTATGAGCAGCTGTGGGTGACGACGCATGAGTTCAGCATCAAGTCAGAGGAGTGGATGAACGGTATGCCATGGTCCCCCTGTGCTGGGCAGGAGGGGGGTGGGCAATGGATCCACCCCAGCCAGTTCTGAAGTTTGATCTTCAGATTCTGGCTGGATTCTGCCTCATATTCTGATACTCTGGATTAAGGCAGCCACAGTCAAAGTTTCCTGATACGATAATCATGGAAGGTGGGGATCAAGGAGGCAGACCTATTGCGCGGTAAAACAAAGTAGGGTGCCGCCCAGAGACATGGATGGGGTAATGGCTCAGAGAGCAGATGGTGGTAGAATAAGAGAGCAGTCCATTAGTGTGCTATTTCAAAAACAAGACCAAATTTCCAGACATCTGTAAACGACTCCTGTTACCCTGGTCCTGGAGGCGAGAGAGAGTGAGAAGATAGGGTCAGCAGAACTGAATGACTGGTTCCATCTGGCATGAAGCAAGGGGGCAGGGAGGGAGGTGAAGGACCAGCATGACTTTTTAAAAATAATCTATTTTTGGATAGTTTCAAGCTTACCTAAAAGTTGCTAGAACTGTACAGAGAATCCCCATCTCCATCCACCTGTGTTCTCCGGTTGCTAATGTCACACCTTCCAGCCCTTCTGTGATAGCGTCTGGGACCGGTGCCAACAGCTGAGCCCCCTGAGCCACATCGCATGCCGGCCACGGCGCCAGCCACGGCGCCGGCCACTCCGCTGTCCCAGGCCTCGCCAGTGTCACTGCCCTGCGTCGCAGGTGATGCCGTGAGGCCTCAGAAAGTGCAGAAATGCTCCAGCGGTCCCTGGCTAAGGAGAAGTTTCAGAGACAGACCCAGCTCCAAAGCCTGTGCTTGTTCCAACATGCACACCATAGGCCCAGTTCTAAGTTCAGGACATTAAAGGTCCGTGTGACTGACATCTACTTGGTCTAACCCTGCTCTCAATTCACCTTTTTTATTTTAGGACCCCTCTTTCTACTGAATGCTGAAGAAATTGCGGAGGAAATAGGGAACATGTGGAGGACAATGTATAAGTTAACCAAGACCTTAGCTGATGTGCCTGCACCCAGGCGCTTGGCAGAGAATGTGAAAATCAAGATTGATAAACTCAAGCAGTACATCCCTATTCTCAACATTTCCTGCAACCCAGGCATGAAGGACCGGCACTGGCAACAGGTCTGCAACTGCCCGGCCCTCCAGCCCTGTCCAGCCCTGGCCTGGTAGCCCCTTGGAAGGCAGGAACCATTACTAGGGCAATCTTCTTTCTGAGAGGAGAGTCTAGGTGAAGCTGAGGGGTAGAAATGGGGTGAGAGCCTTTTGATGGAAAGGAATGAGCAGGATAAGGGATGAACTTTCCACATGAGCAGATGGCCCCTTTTCTTGGGGACCCACAGCTGGGGGTTGAGTACTGATTCAGCCAGTGGCCACATCTGCTCTCCTTACTGAATAGCAGCTCAGGGTTCTCCAGGGTGATCAGGGTGTCTCATTACAGGGGGAGGGCCTTGCTCTGCTCCTGACCTGGGCCACAGAAGAGAAGTCACGTGTTTTCCTGGGGGCTGCTGGGGCTGCCTGTGCTGTGCAGTTTCGTCACCCAGAAGCCTATGTTCAGAAATAATACTCTCTCCTCTCGGCCCCTTGAGTCTATACACGAGCATAACAGATACCCTGCCTGAAAATAGTTGGGATTTCTATAAGCAGCCAGGGGTGAGCGTGATACGTGTGGTGTGAACACTGGCCTGAGAAAGGGAAAATTCGCTGTTTCTGTGACACTCTTCACGTTCAAGGGCAGTAGCCTGGAAACAGCCTTGACCAGGGAGGTGTGTGGCGGTGGAGCTGAGCACCCACAGGCAGATTGGAATTCCCTCTCTCAGAACCGCGCGCCGGACGGAGGACTGTCCGCGGACGGTCCAGTCTGAGGGCACAGCCTGCCTTTCCAGGGAAGGGCGCCTGAGCACAGTTGCCAGGAGCATTTTGATCTCCCCGAGAAAACAGATCCCAGTACATGAGAGATTCAGGAGTTTCCTGAGGAGGGGGCTGCTTTCAGTTCCCAGAAAGCCTGGAAACTCCAGGTTACCTGAGGCAGGGTGTAAAGAAGAGCAGAGGAGTGGTCACCTGAGTAGACATCTGGTCTGGAGCTGTCCCAGCAGACAGGTCTGCAGAGGGGCAGCCGCCTCCCGGGGTGCACACAGGGTACCTCCCCTGTGACCTGGCCTAACCTTGCCGGTTGGGAGCGTTGGCAGTTGGGAGGTTGAGCAATGCTAGGTCTCTTCTTGAGGTGCCTCTATAGACGGTGCCCTCGTCAACGGTGGTTACGCTCCACTCCAAGGGAGCCTAGGAAGCCCCTCCTCCCGGTGCCCCATCTCTGCGGTCACTGTTCTCACACATGCGCACTTTAAGATCCCAACCATCCCTAGACACTCATGATTCTCATTTACGGACCACTTAGATGACCGGATTGGGGGAAAATGTTCCTTAGTAAGTGAGAGGGAGAAAACTGGAATGCAGGTGTCTGACTCAGCCAAGACAGGTGAAAAGGCAGCAAGAAATAGCAGGTGAGAGGGCGTGGGAGGCAGGGGCGGTGAGCCGTAGGTGACAGAGGCCTGCAGCCGGGAAGTGGTCGCAGAGCAGTGAGCCCCTGACGGGGAAGCCCAGTGGGCAAGCTCAGAAAAGATGCCGGCCACCAGGTACATTCAGGGCTGCCCACACCATGCCCCTTCCTGCCTGCACTGTAGGCCACACTCCGAGCCACCCTGGCACAGCCCCGGCCTGGGGGAACCCTTCTCCATCCTAAAACCTAACTTGTGGGACCCATCTGCATGGGTTCTGGTTCTGACAGAGGGAGGCGAAGCCACCTGTAGCTCTCAGGCTAGGGTCCTGGGGTGCCCGTGTGAGGTTTCTGACCATTTCACAGGACTGAGGCAGGAAAAGCTAGTTCTTATGTATGGGGCCCAGACTTAACTGTTTAGCACAGGGGTTGCTGCTACAGTTGAAAACAACATGGAGCCCACCCGGTGTGGCTCAGTGGATTGAGCATCGTCCAATGGACTGAGAGGTCCCGGTTCGATTCCCGGTCAGGGCACATGCCAGGTTTTGGGTTCGATCCCCAGTACGGGGCATGTAGGAGGCAGCCCATCGATGTATCTGTCCCTTCCTCTCTGTCTCTCTCTGAAAAATCAATAAAAGCATTTAATTAATAAACAAATAAAACAAGATGGAACAGGTAACTTTAGGAAGAAATCACACTAATGAGCAACAATGCTGGCCTCTGGGACAGTGCTGCCCTATAGAGATGTAACATGAACATGTGTGTAATTATACAGTTCCTAGTAGCCACATTTTAAAAAGTATAAACAGGTGAAATAAATTTTATGAATAAATTTTAACTAAACATATCCAACATATTATCATTTGAACAGATAACCAATATAAAGATGTTAACGAGGTATTTCACATCCCATTTTTCATGCCAAGTCTCTGAAGTGTGGTGCACTTACACTTACTCAGGGTGGACTGTTCACACTTCCAGATCCCCCGCCCCCCGTGGCCACTGGCTCCGTGTTGGCAGCGTAGTTCTAGGCTTTAGAATGGAAAACCAGATGCTTTGTGAACCTCTGTATTAACAAAGCAATTTAAGTAATGAAACTACCCATCTCTGCGTCTTTGTTATGGGCAAGCACTGTGCCAAACGCTTTACATAGCTGTGTTGTTCAGTCCCAGAAGTGGTCAGCGTGTTGTCCTGTGAATCAGTGAGAGCCCGGGCTGGCAGCACCGCAGGCAGACTGCTCCCCACACTGAGGATGCCACCCTGCGCCCTGCGGTGTTGGAGGGCCTTCCAGCGGTGAGGGCGGGGCCTTCCAGCGGTGAGGGCGGGGCCATCCAGCGGTGTGGGCAGAGCCTTCCAGCGGTGAGGGCGGGGCCTTCCAGCGGTGAGGGCGGGGCCTTCCAGCGGTGAGGGCGGGGCCATCCAGTGGTGTGGGCAGAGCCTTCCAGCGGTGAGGGCGGGGCCGTCCAGCGGTGAGGGCGGGGCCGTCCAGCGGTGAGGGCGGGGCCGTCCAGCCTCCTGCAGTGTACCACCTGCACTGCCACACGTGGAAGGCCTGGGACGGGTGCATGAGAGCTTTGGAGTCTGAACTGGATCCAAGTCCCCATTCTGCCGTTGACCACCTGGATGGTCTTATACAAGACACTTAATGTCTTTGTCTCAGTTTCCTTATATGTAACTTGGGAATAAATATACATTAGCATCTTTCTCGTGTTGGGAAAATGAAATAAATGCATAAAGGACTTAAAACAGTACCTCTACAGAGTAAACTCTCAATAAAATGTTATTTACCTTCATTATTTCTGTCACCTTAGTGGTCCTCCAGGCATCCTCAGGACCCAGGTTGGAGCCGTCTGAATTAGCTGGTTCACTCAGCTTTCAGCTCATAAATATGTATCGGTACCTACTAAATGCCAGGTCCCAGGAACACAAGGCTAAATAAGACAGAAGGTGACCAAGTCTGGTGTCCCTTCCTGCTCTGACGTTCTCTGGTCCTGCTGGGGCTGGACGAGACAGCACTGGGCAGTCGGTGAGGGTTCCAGACCCTCGTTCCCCTTCATCCTCAGCCTCCTCTGGAGCACGCCTGGCCCTTCAGCCACCAGATGTCACACCTGAGAACACTGCTCACAGCCTCAGAGACTTCCCTTAACACTTTCCTTGGGACGTTTTTCACTTAAAGATAAGTGTGGGGAAGTGTTTGCAGCAAAGAAAAGGCACAGCGCCTGCTAACATGTGCAGCAAGTTGGCACATGGGGGTGGAAGGAAGAGATTGTGGGTACCGCTTCTCCTTCCCAGCATCTCAAGCACAGACTGGGGTCTGCCAGTCACAGGTACTCAGCCTTCCTCCTTTTATTTAGCAAACTCTGCGGTTTCTGTCATGGACCAGGCTTTGCACTAGGACCTGGGATTACAAAAACAAAGTAGACACAATCCCAACCCGAGGCTCTGAGAGGGCTGCACTGCATCAAGTGCTGGCGAGGGGCCCGCCCCCGAGAGCTGACGTCCCAGCGAGGCCCTGGGCTGCCCCGGCCTGACTCCTGTACCTCCAGCTCCATGGCCACTGGCTACTGCAGCTATTTAAACCTAAATTAAGCTAAAATGGACCATCGGTCTCAGCCACACCCACCACACAGGGCCCACCGTTGAATGTGCCAGTGGCGACTAAGAGGGCGGTGCAGGCACTGAGCGCAGCTGTTGTCCCAGAAGTCCATGGGCAGCACTCCCTGGAACCCTAAACACTTGCTTTCATCTGTTTTTTTTGTTTGTTTGTTTTTGCAGATTAGTGAGATTGTTGGCTGCAAAATAAAGCCCACGGAAACAACGTGTCTGGCAAATATGCTGGAATCTGGATTCAGCAAATTCATTGACAAGTAAGGTGCTCCCTTTCTTCAGAAAGTGTTTTGGTCCAAGTACCTGTAAGTCTGCACCATGACAGTGTTGCTGGAAGGGGACCTGGCCCTTGGCCTTCCTAGGGCCATCTGGGAGTCTGTGGGTTCTTGACTTTGCACAGCACGAGTCCAGGTGAACTTTAGAGGACGTGTGTTAAAGCTGCGGACAGTGAAACGAAGAAGGGCTGAGACAAGCCTAGGCTGGTCCGCTTTGGCTCACTGAGTCAGAGAAAAGGGGGCCTTGGGGACAGGTTCGGGGATTTGCCTGGATGAACTGTCACTGCCCATTGCTGCCCTGGTTGCAAGCCTCAGGGGTCCCTTAGAGTCTAGGAGCTGCTGCCTGTGGGGGAAGAAGGGCAAAGGGGGGCAGGGGCGTGCTCCTGAGAGGAAGCAGGAGGACTGGAACCTCTCTGTCTTGAGGTATTTTAAAGGCTGGGCATTTAGGGGAGGGCTTAGGGGAGGATATCAATAGAACATTCATCAGCTTTATGCTAATGTACCAAAATGAGATTTAATTTTTTTCTTTATTGATTTTTATTTTTTTATTAATTAATTAATTTTTTTACAGATGTTTCTCCATTTTCCACAACTAATTTTCCCCTTCCCCAGCTTTGTTGTCCCCGTCCATTGTTCATGCATACATGGATGTAAGTTCTATGGTTCATCTCTCCCCCACGACTCCCTTCTGGGGTTTGTCAGCCTGTACCCCACTTCCACATCTCTGGGACTACCTCATTCCTCAGACTGTTATGTTCATTATATTCCACAAATAAGTGAGATCATATGATACTTGTCTTTCTCTGTTTGGCTTATTTCACTTAGGATGATACTTTCCAGGTCCCTCCATGTCGTCTCAAAGGATAAGAGATCTTTCTTTATACAGCTGTATAGTACTCCATTGTGTATATGTACCACTGCTTTTTTATCCATTTGTCTACTGATGGACACTTGTGCTCTTTCCAGATCTTAGCGATTGTAAACAGTGCTGCTACAAACATGGGGGTACATATATTCTTCCTGATTGGTGTTTCAGGCTTCTTAGGGTATATTCCTAGAAGTGGGATCACTGGGTCAAATGGAAGTTCAATTTTTAATTTTTTGAGGTAACACCATATTGTTTTTCATAGTGGCTGCACCAGTCTGCATTCCCACCAGCAGTGTACTGGAGTCCCCTTTTCTTCACACCCTTGCCAACACTTGTTGTTTGATGATTTGTTGATGGTGGCCATTCTGACAGGTGTGAGGTGATACCTCATTGTTGTTTTAATTTGCATCTCTCTGATGATTAGTGATGTTGAGCATTTCTTCATATGTCTCTTAGCCATTTATATGTCCTGTTTGGAGAGGTGTCTATTTAGTTTCTCTGCCCATTTTTAATTGGGTTCTTTATCTTCCTTTTGTTGAGTTGTATGAGCACTCTATATATATTGGAAATGAACCCCTTATCTAATATATCATTGGCAATTATGCTCTCCCATACAGTGGGTAGCCTTTCCATTTTGATGATTGAATCTTTTGCTGTGCAGAAGCTTTTGAGTTTGATGTAGTCCCATGTGTTCATATTCTCCTTTGTTTCTATTGCCTGAGGTGATGTATCAGTGAAAATTCTGCTGCGTATGATGTCTGAAATTTTGTTTCCTACAGTTTCTTCTAGAATTTTTATGGATTCATGATCACATTTAAGTCTTTTATCCATTTTGAGTTTTTTCTCGTGTAGGGTGTAAAGTTGATGGTCTAGTTTCATTTTTTTGCATGTAGCTGTCCAATTCTCCCAGCACCATTTATTAAAGAGGCTGTCTTTACTCCACTGTATGCTCTTGCCACCTTTGTCAAATATTAATTGAGCATATTGTCTTGGGTCCATTTCTGGGTTCTCTGTTCTGTTCCACTGGTTTATATGCCTGTTTTTGTGCCAGTACCAGGCTGTTTTGATTACAGTAACTTTGTAGTATAACCTGAAATCTGACAATGTGATCCCTCCAACTTTGTTCTTCCTTTTCAAGATTGCTATGGCTATTTGAGGTCGTTTTTGGTTCCATATGAACTTTTGAAGTATTTGTTCTAATTCTGTGAAGTATGCCGTTGGTATTTGGATGGGGATTGCATAGAATCTATAGATTGTTTTGGGTAGTATGGACATTTTAATGATGTTAATTCTTCCAATCCATGAACAAGTATGTGCTTCCACTTTTTTATATCTTCCTCTATTTCTTTTTTCAATGACCTGTAGTTTTCTGCGAATAAGTCCTTTATTTATTTGGTTAAGTTTATTCCTAGGTATCTTAATTTTTTGCTGCAATGGTAAATGGGATTGTTTTTTTTAGTTTCTGTGAGTTCATCATTGGTTTATAAGAATGCCATTGATTTCTTGATGTTAATTTTGTATCTTGCTACCTTGCCAAATTCATTTATTAAGTCTAGTAAATTTTTGATGGAGTCTTTGAGGTTTTCTACATATAGTATCATGTCATCTACGAATAATGACAGTTTCACTTCCTTCTTTCCCATTTGGATCCCTTTAATTTTTCTTCCTGTCTGATTGCTGTGGCTAAGTCTTCAGTACTATGTTAAATAAGAGTGATGAAAGTGGACATCCTTGTCTTTTCCTTTTCTTAAGGGAAATGCTTTTAATTTTTGCACTTTGAGTATGATGTTGGCTGTAGGTCTTTTATATATGGCCTTTATTATGTCGAGATATGAAACCTCTATTCCCACATTGCTGAGCGTTTTTATCAAAAATGGATGCTGGATTTTGTCGAATGCTTTTTCAATGTCTATTGATAGGATCATATGATTTTTATCTTTCATTTTGTTTATGTGGTGTATCAAATTTATTGATTTGCAAATATTTTGCCAGCCATGCATCCCTGGGATTAATCCCACATGGTCATGGTGAATAATTTTTTGATGTATTAGTGGATTTGATTTGCTAGTATTTTGTACAGGATTTTGGCATCTATGTTCATCAGGCATATTGGTCTGTAGTTTTCTTTCTGTAGTGTCTTTTTCTGGTTTTGGAATTAGAATTATGCTGGCCTCATAAAATGAGTTTGGAAGTCTTCCTTCTTCTTGGATTTTTTGAAATAGTTTGAGGAGAATGGGTGTTAGTCTTCTTTGAATGTTCGGTAAAATCCCCTGTGAAGCCATCTGGGCCTGGGCTTTTGTTTGCTGGGAGAGTCTTGATTACATCTTCAATTTCTTTTGTTGTTATTGGTCTGTTCAAGTTTTCTATCTCTTCCCAGTCCAGTTTTGAGAGACTATGTGTTTCTAGAAATGTGTCTCTTTAGCTTAGATTGTCAAATTTGTTGCCATATAATTGTTCATAATATTTGTTAACAATCCTTTGTATTTCTGTGGGATCAATTGTTACTTCTCCTCTTTCATTTCTGATTTTGTGTATTTGGGTTCTCTCTCTTTGTTTCTTGGTGAGTCTAGCCAAGGGTACATCAATCTTGTTTATCTTTTCAAAGAATCAGCTCTGTTTCATTGATCTTTGAATTGTTTTTTTGGTCTCCAAGTCATTATTTCTGCTCTGATCTTTACCATTTCCTTTCTTCTACTTGCTCTGCGGTTTTCTTTTTGTTTGCTTTCTAGTTCTGTAAGTAGTAAGGTTAGATAGTCTATTAGAAATTTTTCTTGCTTCTTGAGGTAGGCCTGTAGTGCTATGAACTTCCCTCTCAACTGCTTTCACTGCGTCCCATAGATTTTGTGTTGTTGTGTGTTCATTCTCATTGGTTTTCAGGAATTATTTAATTTCTTCTTTGATCTCCATGGTAACCCATTCATTGTTCAATAACATGCTATTTCGCCTCCATGTGTTCAAATGTCTTTGCGTGTTCTTGTTGCAATTGATTTCTCGATTCATGCCATTGTGATCTGAGAAGATGCTTGATATGATTTCAAGCTTCTTGAACTTGTAGAGACTTAGTTTGTGCCCTAACATGTGGTCTATCTTTAAGAATGTCCCATGTGCACTTGAGAAGAATGTGAATTCTGTTTAGAGTCTCTTGTAAACAACTTCATTTAGAGTCGGTGTTTCCTTGTTAATTTTTTGTCTAGAAGATCTATCCAGTGATGTCAGCGGGGTATTGATGTCCCCTGCTATGATTGTATTGCTGTTGATTTCTTTTTTTTGAAGTCCTCCAAAAGATTTTTATCATATGTTTGTGCTCCAATATTGGGTACATATATGTTTACCAAGGTTATATCTTCCTGTTGGATAGATCCTTTCAATATTATGTAGTGGCCTTCCTTGTCTCTAGTTATGGCCTTCATTTTGAAATAAACTTTAATAGATATGAGTATTGCTACACCAGCTTTTTTTGGTTTCCATTTGCCTGAAAGATTTTTTCCATTACTTCACTTTCAACCTATGTGAGTCTTTTGTTGTGTGGTGGGTCTCTTATAAACAATATAAATGTGAGTCATGCTCTCTTATCCAGCCTGCTATGTTGTGTCTTTTTATCAGAACATTCAAATTATTCACATTTAAGGTGATATGTACTTATTTATTGCCATTTTTGTTTAGTGTGGTTCTATTTTTCTTCCTCTTTCTTCTACTAATTACAGCAGTCCTTTTAGCACATCTTGCAGTGCTGGTTTGGTGTTAATATATCCCCTTAGCCTTTTTTTTTTGTTTGGGAAGCTCTTTATTTGACCTTCTATTTTGAATGATAGCCTTGCCGAATAGAGTAGTCTTGGATTCAGATCCTTGTTTTTCATGACCTTGATTACTTCATGCCACTCCCTTGTGGCCTGTAGTGTTTCTGTTGAGAAGTCAGCTGAGAGCCTTATGAGGTTTCCTTTGTAGGTAACTTGTTGCTTATCTCTTGCTGCCTTTAGGATTCTCTCTTTGTGTTTAAGTTTTGGCATTTTAATTATTATGTGTCTTGGTGTGGGCCTGTTTGAGCTCTTCTTACTTGGGGCTCTGTGTGCTTCTTAAACTTGAATGCCTTTTTCTTTCACCTGGTTAGGGAAGTTTT